TCAGTCTGAGTACCACTTCCTTTAAGAATCCTTACTGGATCCCTTCCAACTGTTAGTACTGACCTCAAAATAACTTTGTGTTTACTGGATAGATATTTTGTATTTATTTTTGTATATGCCATCTCCTTCCCCCTACCCCAGAATAACATATAAGGGCAGAGACTGTATTCGTTTTTATCTTAGCAATTCCAACTCCTAACATACCATTGGTGTTTAATTGTTGTGGTTGTTTGTCCTTTGTTTTTGAAAAGGACCAATGACACTGGTATTTAATAAATACTTGCTGAATTAAATTTCTTGGTCTGCACTGGATATGTAGTCAGAGCTTTATTGTTTAGTTATGTCAGATGACTCTTTGTGACCCCATTTGGGGTTTTCTCGGCAAGCCACTTCCTTCTCCAGCTCATTTTACAGATGAGGAAACAGGCAACTGATTGGCCCGGGGTCACACAGCTAGTAAGTGTGTGCAACTAAATTTGAACTCGGGTCTTCCTGACTCCAGGGCAGGCACTCTCTCTGCTGCACTACTTAGTTGCCAGAAGACCTAGGTTCAAATCTCTGCTCTGCTAAATACTACCCGTGTGTCATTTCATTGTTCTGGGTAGCCATTTTCTCATCTGTAAAATGGAGGAGGGAAAGACTAGATAAGCTATAAAGTTATATCCAGGTCTAAATCTTCAATGCTAATTCAACCTCTTAGAATTAGGAGGGTCAAATAAGGTAGAATGAGTCAACATCAAGAGATCATTGTGACAATGACTTTGGCTGAAGCCACAACATCTTAAAGTCTTTTTGGTTCTCTAGAAATGTCTTCCACATGACTCTGAGTAGAAAGGTGGCTGTCTCTGAAACTCCATATCCCCCCAAATATGTACTCCAATGGATTCCTCACCCATCTTTTGTCCTAACCCAGCTCTAATTGGCCTGCTGCCTTGGAAGCTGCTGGGCTGATAGACCCTGGTCCCTGGGAAGTGCTCATATTCAATTCAATTTAATTTAATAAGCACTTCTTTTTTTTTTTTTAGTGAGGGCATTTGGAGTTAAGTGACTTGCCCAGAGTCACACAGCTAGAGAGTGTTGTGTTTCTGAGGCCAGATTTGAACTCAGGTCCTCCTGACTCCAGACTCTATCCACCTAACTGCCCCTTAAACACTTATTATTAATGCTATGTGCCAAACCCTGGGCAAGGTGCTAGGGTTACAAAGATAAGAATGTAATCTCCCCTGCTCTCAAGAAAGTTACCTGAAGAATCCAAGTTTTAAAAAATAGTTTGGTAATATAAGCCAGGGGTCAGCAAACTATGACCAGTGAGCCAAATCTAGCCCACCACCTGTTTTTGTGTGGCCCGTGAGGTAATCATTCCAAGCTAAAGCTTAGCTTTGCTCACCCCCTTTTATACTGGCATGTGCATAACACGTCAAGGTTTATGAAGAGCTTTGCGTACATTATCTTTCTTAAGCCTCAAAGCAACACTGTGAAGTAGGTGTAATTGTGGCCATTAATTTTTTTATCCTTAAAGGCAGCCAGGTGGCACAAAGGATAGAGCACAGAATGTGGAGTCTTAGACACTCACTAGCTGTGTGACCCTGGATTAATCATTTGACCTCTGTTTGCCCCAGTTTCTTCAACTGTGAAACAGGCAATAACAGCACTTACCGTGAATGGTTGTTGTGAGGATGAAATGACATAATGTGAGTAAAGTACCAAGCACGTAGTAGGAATTATAGAAATGTCTGTTCTCTTCTCCTTCCTTTCCCATTTTTACAGATGAGAGAAATGAGGCTCAAAGTGGTTAAGTGATTTGCCCCTGGTCACACCACTAACAGGTACTGGAAGTGATATTTAAACACTGTGAACCCCAATTTATCTTAAGAAAGAAACAATCAAACCTGGGTGTGTGTGTTGTCCACAGTTTCATTTCTTTCAAGTTGTCTTGACATGTATTGCATGGTAGTTCAGTCCAAAACTGAGCCCTCCCAAGGGGGCCAGTTCAGAACTGGCTTGAAAGGGATTTTTTGAGGTAGAGCATTATATACTCTTTCAACTGGGTCTCATATCCACTGGCCATCACTCCACCAGACCAATCCCAGCCTCTGTCTATCTGGGCAGTGGCATCTGTCTCCACCCAAGCCTGAGCAGGATAAAATCAATTCAGGTTTGGGCTGGGTTTGACCAGGATAAGAAGATGCAATGCAATCTCATTATCAGTGATGTCCTTCTGAAACAGAAGGCTGAGGGGTGGAGCTCTGAGTCTCCAATATACAGATTACCAAGAGAAATCATTTTTAACAACACGCATTTTTCTTGGCCCATGGGTCAAGTTCTTTTATCACCACCCTCTCTGTTTCACTTTAAACCTGCAGTTTAAATGTCCACGTGAAAACTGTAGTTCCCAGTGGAATGATGTCTCCATACATGCATTTTTTAACCTTATAAATAGGCTATTGACTCAGTTGTAACAAAGACCAAATTAAGCTGAGATCTATGTATTAGGCCCTCCCTGGTGCAGCAGCCAAGTCTATTTTACAGGCTCGGAGTAGGACACGAACATGGCACTAATGGCCCAGGGTGGGTCTTAGCCTTTGCAAGAGAGTCAAATAGCACGTCGGGAAAAAGAAAAAGCCTGAAGCACTGAATCACCCTATGTACTTCGTACATTTATTTAGACAAGCAGAGTTTAGTTTTAATTATTGATGGTAATAGCTCTCGGTACACTGGTAAATGTCCTTTGGTGTATATTTTGTAAAAGTAATGAAGTCTCTGCAATATGAATTTCCCTTTCTGCCCCAGGCTAGTGGAGTTCTACTGAAGACCTAGGCAGCAACATAGAGTGTATTTGTGTGGTGTGGTGTGTGGGGTGTGTGTGCATGAGTGCATGTATAAATTACCAGGCTTAAGGATCAGGAAGATAAGGCTGTTCTTGTTTTTGAGATTTTTCAGAAATTATACTTGAAGGACCTTGAATCCCTAGCTTCTTTCAAGACTTAGCTCATGAGACTTTCCTTATCCTCCCAAGTATTAGTGCTCTTCCCCTCCACCCCAATCTCCACTCCCTCAGTCTAAAATGAATACAGATCTCATTAGCCTTCTTAGCTGCCTTATCCCACTGTTGTAACTCATCCTTAGCTGGCAGACCACTGAAACCACAAGATCTTTTTCAAATAAACTAATTGTTGGGGTTTAGCACAAGGAAGTACAGCCCTTTGCTATCACAGAGAGAGTATAGGGACTCTTGCTTCAGCTGTGAGGTCAATTATTTCAACTAAGGTACTTGAGGTGAGACTGTGAAGCCTGTTGAGGAAAATTTGTCACCACCAAATGAAAATAATTTAAGCACCTGTTATACCAGCCATGCAAATATCTTATTCACCCACAAATAGCCCTGGGTGTAGTTAGGTTTCTTGAAAAAAAAAAACAGTAGCAACTGATGAACAATGCTACTGAAGAATATGTAGATTTCCAGAAAAATAGGAAATAGCCTAGAAAAGGGCCGTAGGTATTTCATGCCCCCAATCAAGCATATATCACCGGGGACCTATTCCCTGAATGGTACAATTCCTGAGGTGTACAAATAATAGGAAAACATAGCACATCCCACCCCATCCCCCAAATATTCATTAACCATGGCCCACAAATATGGCAACAGGATTCTAGGAATTCAGAAAATGCTATGGAAATTATCCTCATACAGAGCGGGCCTTACTGCTTGGAGTAAAAACAGACACTGCAGAAGGTTCCCTAAGACAAGTGTTAGCTGTTCATTCTTCGAAGAGATCTCTTGTCTTCAGAAAAGACATGCTCAGATGGAACTGAGAGTATGAGAGGCGCTATCTACTCGGAAGCAAGAGGAAGCTGCAGGGTCATGACCAGGAATTCTGACACTCAGGGCAAACTCAATAGGGGAAGGATGGGAATGAAAAGGGTAGGCCACCAGGTTAGGTGCAGTGAGGTCATGCTGGGAAACCCCATGGAGAAGGTGGAGAAGGGTAAGGGGGTGATGGGGATATGGACGAGTCAGAGCAGGATCCTCCTAGTATCATATTACACAGGCCAAGGCACTAAGCTTAGAAGGAAGCATACCACTCCCCCTCCCCCAGGAATGGGGAACCCGAGGCCACGTGTGGCTCTCTAGGTCTTCAAGTGTGGCCCTTGAATAAGTTTTGTTCTGTGAAGTTTGGATTCAGTCAAAGGGTCTCGTTTGAGACCCTTTAAATGCCTGTACTTCTGACTTCTGACACCTTCCTTTCAGTGTTGTTCTCACTTGCAATATTGTAGTTATCCTGTATATTTTTTTTCTGGTTCTTCTTTTCAATATATTTTGGCAAGTCTCCAAGAAGAGTAGCTTATGGCTGTCCTGAATAGAACTATATCAATTCATATTCCCATAGCACTTTAAGAGTTGTAATGTGCTTTACCTAAAATAACTATACTTGTGGGGAAGGAAGTTTATTAGTATCATTTTACAAATAAGGAAATGAAGCCTCTGAAAAGTGATAGGATTAAGCCCAGATCATAGACATCAGAGATGGGATTCATAGTCTAGCATCTTTTCCTCTACAGTACTCTAGCTCTTGTGAAGAGGGCACTTCAAGTTCATAGGATCAGAGAGATCTAAGGCTAGAAAAGACCAAAGAAGCTATCCAGTAAAATACCTTCATTTTTCAATATGGATGGAAACTGAGGCCAAGGAGGTTAAGTAACTTGCCCAAATGGGAGTTGAATTCAGGTCTTCTAACTTCAGATTTAGTTCTGTTTCTGACTCTGCTGCGTTCCTAACCCAGGAATGGTTAAAAGACTTGCTCAGGGCACACAGCTAGAAAGTGTCAGACATAAGATTTGAACCCAGGTCTTCCTGATACCAAGCCTAGCATTCTTTCTACTATAATTCTTTCAGATACCACATACAAGGACCAATGTAATAGCAGTGACTGTATTTTTATACAGAAAAACCAAAGCATATGGAAAGAAGACCAAAACAGGGGGAAAACTTTTTACCCTACCTTCCTCTCTCGCAGGCATTTTTCATACAGCAATCCCTGATCCTTTTCTTGTTTTCATCCAAGCCCTAGGTCTTTGTTTTTCTTTCCCTTCTCTTTCCCACCAATTGTGCTCCCCAACTCCAATTATTTTTTGGTTTTGAGATTCAGTCTTTTACATTGATTCCCAGTCCCTTCCTCCATGTATTAGGATTTATATAATTTACTTTCCACATTCAGGGAAGAATTGTATTTATTGATATATACTAGAACAGCACCATTCTTAGTTTCTATGTGCTCATATAGCTTCTCTCTCCATCTCCCCAGTCTATCACCCAGGCCCACCCCTAATGCCCCTTTGCTAAATTCCACCACCCCCCTTTTGAACTCCCTTCTTTCCTTTCCCTTGAATTTCTATACTTGATTCTCCCTCCTGTTCTATGGCTCTTTCTTTCCTGCTTCTGTCCCCCACGGTGCATATAACACCCATGAAAGGATTAAGTTACGGAAAGCTCTCAGGGTAAGGTCAACCAGGAGAGGGTGCAGTGATGGTAAAAGGCTTCCATAGTAACTGCCCTTTATGAGGTAGGGTTGTTGTCCCTTTATGTCCTGGAGAATTTACTGGGCAAAACCTCTGAAACTTTCTTTGTTTTGCTCACACAAAAACCTCGTAATACTCCCAAGTCGGGAACGTGTTTGTAGCCCTTCTCATACATGAGAAGGAACTATCATCCAGTTTGACATCAAGGAAGGAATTTGGGGAGGAGGTAGAATAAGATAACAAAGAACCAGTTTCACTGGTCAGAATCAGTGTGGCACTTAAATAAAACAACAATCTCAGCTCATTGGGGGAAGGTTATGCACCATTAGGCATAAGACCCACTTCTAGAGAAGTGTGGGCTAGAACTAATTCTATAGAAAGAGAGAAACACGAAATGAGTGAGTTGATATATATACATATATATGGGATGTGTATATAGATATAGTATATATATGTGTGTACACATGTATGTGTGTGTGTGTGTGTGTGTGTGTGTGTTTCAAGGAAAGGATCCCTTCTCTCTTTCTCCCCCCAAAAAAAGAAAACAAACATTTTGGTGTAAGGATTTTATCCTGCTCAAAAGACCCTGGATTTAAAGTGTTCAATGGAAAATAGCTCCCTAAGACTTAGCTGAAGAGGATTTTTGTTTTTGAACCTGGACAGCTTTGGAAAGTTAATAGAACTTAATCCACAACTCTGAGACCATCCACTCTCATCTTCAGGTTATTGGTAGCAAAGAACCAATGAGAAGCCAAAAGGTACAGGTGTCCACCAAGGAAAGAACATTATTCTTATATAGTTTGAGGTTTTCAGATTCTGGACATTAGCCATTACACTGAATTTGACCTAAACTTTGTTGGCTTTTGTGTGTGCACGAAAATGAATTTAAAATGATTGGTCTCCCTCCATTATTGAACAATGGTATTGGAAGGTTGGATCTCCAGTTCTAGGAGTATGCCTGAGTCTGACTTTTCTCCTAACACTGTAGCTCATGAGTCCTTACTGGTGTGTTTCCCATAAACAATAAGCCAGTAGACTCAATTAGCCCTTAGAAAAGTTATTTACTCAAACAAATGGCAAAAACAGTAGTTGTAATGCATTATTCCACAAAGCTGGGATTCCTTCTCCAACAAATATGCACATAGCCTTCATGAGAGTGGGATGGGGAGTAGATACAAACAGTGGTAGTGTGGCATATGTGTAGGGATTGCATGTGACCAAGACAATTTACAACTCCACAGCTACAAGACCTCAATATCATTTTTACCCCTGGAGAGTGTTCATGAAGTTTACAGTAAAGCAAGTTATCAGTGATGGATGAGTTGTTCCACTTCTCTGCAGAGCTGTCCCAGTAGGACACAATTTCAGCTGGATAGGTGACTCAGCTGGGCTTGCTCCTTGCAGGGTACAGTGTCTTAGCTTGATAAACTGATCTGCTGTTCCATATTAGGCAAAGCATTTGGCTGGGAAAGTCAGGTCACTTAGCTGAAAATGTTGGTTCTTCACAGGATACTGGATTTAGTGACTCCATTGAGCTCCGAGGCTCACTTTTCAATGGGTAGCCATAGTCTCCATCACCTCCAGTCTTGGCTTAGCTGGGTTTTACTCTGCCATTTCAGCTGGAGAGCTATTGTGCTCTATCACAAAGGACAGAGAGCTTTACTGTAATGTTGGCAATCACCCCCCAGACAAGAAACAGGAGAGGTAAAACCCTTCCTGTTCAACAGTTCTTTGGGTTCACGGATTGGTACCCTGTATGTGGACCTCTAACACCCTTATTTATGGTGACCAACCACTTATGTTTCCAAAACTGCTGTTTTAACTTTATACAAATGAGTGTCTAGAGACAAAAGTATTGATGTAATAATGTGTGCTCTGGGGCAAACTGATCATCTTTTCTGGGCTTTTCACATGCAGCTGAGTTATTAAAAGCTTCCAACCCCTTCTTGGGAAGGTAGGTGGATAGAATGCCAGGCCTGGAGTCAGGAAGACCTGAGGTCAAATCTGGCTTCAGACACTTACTAGCTGTGTGACTCTGGGCAAATCACTTAAACCTGTTTGCCCCTGGGGCAGCTAGGTGGTACAGTGGATAGAGCACTGGGTTTGGAATCAGGAAGATTTATCTTTATGAGTTCAAATTCTGTCTCAAACACTTACTAGCTGTGTGACCCTAGACAAGTCACTTAATCCTATTTACCTCAGTTTCCTCATCTGTAAAATGAGCTGGAAAAGGAAATGGCAAACCATTCCAGTATCTCTGCCAAGAAAACCCCAAATGGGGTCATGCAGAGTCTGACAGGACTGAACAACAACTTCTTCTTAAGTGTTAAAACACTTCATTTACACCTGAAAGGTCCTTACCTTTAAATTTCTCTGACTGCCTCTTCCCCTTTCCACCTTCAACTAGGCTGAAATATAAGCCAGCACATCTTTATACTACTAATGGCACCAGACTGTAAGATGCTTTAATGGAACCAAAGATCTGTGATCTCACCACTGTAGTTATTTTCTCCAATAAGGAGGTCACAACCCTGCCATATGTTCTCATTCTGATTTACTCTTGTCCATATCACTGAGCTTTCTGTAAACATGTTTTTCCGCCAGTTTTCGCTATTGTTTTATAAGGCAATATAGTTCACAATTTTCCACCATCCTCCTCCATAAAATTCATAAAATAGTTTATTACTTAAACCAGGGTTATCTTTAGTTGTCATATCTCTCTGCCTGGTGAGTAAATCAGGACTGGATGAAGCTCCATCTACTTTAGACACTTTTGGCCTCCTTATGGTGACAATGATGTCTTCTAATTGTAGCTAAGTCTCCTTTCTGAGGACAAGACTAGCTAGACAGGGAGAGTTATAAGTCAGACCAATAGACCCAGTACCAGTAGGCTGGTCACTAGGCAATACTTGTTATTGTTCAGCCATTTTCAGTCATGTCTGACTCTTTGTGAACCCATTTGGGATTTTCTTTGCAGAGACACTGGAGTGGTCTGTCATTTCCTTCTCCAGCTCATTTTAGAGATGAGAAAACTAAGGCAAATAGGATTAAGTGACTTGGCCAGGGTCACACAGCTAGTTTCCGAAACAGGATTTTAACTTAAGTCTTCCTGATTCCAGGTCTGACATTCTATCCACTGTGCTACCATTAGGTAATACGGTTTAAGGTAAAGGTAACTCATGAAACAAAGATGCAAAATAACTCCTAGTTCTGTGAATGTGAATTATATCAATATTGATATTCTTGATGTAGGCAGCTGGGTACCATGGTGAATAGAGTCAGATTTAGAGGCAGGAATATATATAGGACATAATAGGACACTAATAATACATATAGTATTATTTGCATATACACAATACATATAATAAGACACATAATACATATAGGACATAATAAGATATCAACTAGCTTTGTCACACCCTATTTGCCTCAATTGCTTCATCTATAAAGTGGAGATAATAATAATAATGCCTACCTCCTAGGGTTTCTGTGAGGATCAAATTAAAAAGAAATATCATGTGTGTATGTGTGTATTTACCTTTGCAAACCTTAAAGCTCTATGTAACTGCTAGGTATTATTCTTATAAATGTAGTTAGATGACAATAAATAGAAGTTGCAGTTAAATGGAAGTGATGGGGTTATGGGACCTGGACCCCTAAAAGGAAAAGACCACGTCTCTAGAAACAATCCAATTCTTGAATTTTCCCATACATTCTAGCAGCCCAGATCACTGGCCTACTCCAGACTTACTAGATCACTTAATTAGCCTACTTGATATGCCTTTCACTGTTGCTTCTGGCCCAACCCCGACTACTTACCACTCCTTAATCCCACCCAGATCCTTTCACTGTCCCTTTTCTATATAAGCATCAGTCTCACCCCCAGTAAGTTGCAGGTTCACTGGAAACCCTGCCTGCTACCATTGGCGAATAAACCTTGTCACTTTACAGGAAGAAGGTTTGAGGGCATGAATTTATTCCAGGTGGATGCTGCCCTGTACCCTGACATTTCAGTGTTCCCGGCAACCCCAAACTACATCAGAAAGAGAGATCACAGATTCCTGGAAAGTCAATATAAGGCTGAATTTTAAAAATCTTTTTTCAAAACAAATTAGTTTTGACCCTAAGAGTCACTTTGTGACAAGGATAAGATATCTCTGCTATCAATAAATAGGTGCTCTTTCCTTTGACCTAGTCTGGTAATGGTACTATAGGGAAGTCTATCTAAAACCAAGAGACTCCCATAGCATGGACTGCAATAAGTCTAGCCTAGTCTGGGTCTGGGTCTGCAGTCTGCCATAGTAATAGCTCTAGTCATGAAGGCCCAAAACAACAAAAACAAGCATCTTTTAAATACCTATTGATGGAAGAGGACTGGGCTAGCTAGGGAGGAAGAAATAAAGTTTATCTATGAAGGTGAAAGAAATGATATCATTGCTGATGGGCTAAAAGAATCAAGAGAGGCTTCTTTTTTAGGACTGAGGAGATCTGAATATATTTTATGCAATTGGGAGTAAGCCGGTGAATGGCAAGGGAGAAGTTGAAGATGCATGAAAGTGGAAATAAGTAGAGAGAAAGCAATCCTGAAGAAAGCAGGAGGGGATAGGATTAAGGGCTCAGGTAGAGGGTTTAGTCTTAATAAACAGCAGGGCCGTCTCTTCTGTGACTGGAAAAAAGGAAGCAGGATATCATTAATGACAAAAGGATCAGTTGTCACAGTGTAACAAACCAGCAGAAGTCAGAGGCACCAGGAGCGTCTAAAATTTAAAAGTATTGCAATCCAAAAGTCAAAAAATGAAAACATGGTTTAAGGTCAAGCAAGAAGCAATGAAAGTCAATTCAATTAAATGCAACAAAAATAATTAAGGCCTACTGTGTGCCAGTGTAATACAAAGATTAAAAAAGAAACAATCCCTACTCTCAAGAACATTATATTCTTCAAGGAGTCTTGAAGACAGGGGATGAGTACTCAAAAAAGTAAA